ACCCAAACCATTCTATGATTTTAGCTGTCGATACAACTCCTGTGTTACATAATATTTAATAGTTTTTAAATTAAAATTTACAAGGAAGTTTAAATAATCCTCACATGTAGTTCAAACAGCTGGGAAGTAACATACTCCAACATCAACATTTCATCTTGTGTCACGTATTTCTTGGCATTTGTATTCCAAAACTAAACAGGACACACAGATGTCTGTACCCACACCTTATCACTGGAAAAAGAACAGCTACTTACAGCTCCTTCTTGATCAACATCAGCTCCCATCTGCAGCAAGTATTTCACACACTCCAAATGACCCTTCCTTGCTGCCCAAACCAGTGGGGTGGTTCCATACTGCAAAAACATTCATAACATTCTATCATACTGCTCTCAGTATTTAGCATCCCCTGCAAGCTAGTACTCATCCTATACTTTATTGCTTTAGTTTTAACAAAGATACAGTTTGGTCTTGTGAATTAACAGAAGCATTGGAAAGAAGAAGTTAAACTGGCCTTTGTAGATGACAGCTGTAAGAATTATTTTTCTTTGCAATGCAGGATAGCAGGTTTTCCGATAGTTCAGAAAACAGAAAGGTGCTCCACTGAAATAAATGTTCACAACCATCTTCAGCATACTACAGAAAAACCTCTTGCAAATATAATGACTTACTCTAGCACACTAGTTCTAATCTCATGGGCAAAAAGTAACTGGGTGTTTTTACAATCAAAAACCCATAGTTCTTTTCAATATTAAAACTTCCTTTGACTGGAAATGTATCACGCATTAAAGAAATTAAATATTATCTAAATATAACTTACTTTGTCAGAGCAGTTCACTTTAGCTCCATGTTGCAGTAAGAGATGTACTATATCCGAGTGGCCCCGTCCTGCTGCCCAAATAATTGGATAAACACTGTATTGCTTAAAATTAAAACAAGAAAACACAAAAACAGAAAGCCCATATGAAATAAGATCATAGTCTTAATTATTTTCCATGAACAATTATTGATCACAATGCTCCAAGAGACGATAAACCCATAGAAAAAGGACTGTCTGGAAGCACTTATGAATCTGTTTTGTTGTATAACTCCTTAAACAAGGTTTGAAAATTCACATCCTCATCTTTATATAAAGATTTGTAATGTAAGAGAGAAGGAGCAGACAGCTATGGAATATCCCTAAGTAATCCAGGGCGCAGATGATTTACGTCACGCAGAAACTGTATGTGCAAAGCAGATGAAACTGTCAGCAAGGTAAGTCACTGTGTTCTTCCTTGAGTGTGCACTGCTGCCTCAAACACCAGAGAGCTGACAGTAGAAACAAATGGGTCATTCAAGTTTCAACATGCCTATAGTATTATAGAAAACGTTTATAAAATGAAATAAATCTCAGAATCTGAGTTAGTTTAATTCCCTCACGTGTATAGTACCTATTTATACAATCCAGCCCATTTGGTAACTATGAGACAATTAAAACTAATTTTTGTTTCCAAATTGCACATATTAGTTACTCCATGGAGTTCTACAGAAGCAGGAAGATGGTAATTGTTATACAACTAGAATTAGATACACTCCTTTTCTATGACTTCCTCTCCTGCTAAACTGAATCTTATTAAGAGCTATAAACTCATTTGCTTTAATAAAAATTAATCAAAACAAGAGTGGCTGTCATACAGGTTATTAACGCAAACCCTTTATAAATAAGCAGAGCAATTAATGTTATAGCACAAAAAAATGCTAAATGTTTAAAATAACAAGTGTACCATTCAGGATTTCAAACACTTGGAACGAGGGGGTGTTTAAGACCAAAACTTACCATTCCTGTGATGTTTGGATTTGCTCCTTTCTCAAGCAGCAGTTTAGCTACTTCGGTCCGGCCTTTATATGATGCCCACATCAGGGCAGTCCATCCTCCCTGGCAAGCACAATTCAGAAAAATGTGAAAACTGAAAAATATTCTTTAGAAACCTAACCAGGGACTTTTATTTCATTTTTTTATTTGACCTAAGACTGTTTTGCAAGTCCAAAACATAGGAAGGATTGACTACACAACCTTGTTATTTATCCTACATAAACAGGATTACAATCACACGTATTAAAGTTCCTGCTGTATGTAAAACTTGTGAGAGTACCATGTTCCTGAGTTTGCTGTAAACACTCAATTCAGACTTAAGTGTATACAAATCTGAACACTGGATAAACAAAACCAAAAAAACCACTACCTTAAACCAGAAGTCCAAATCAATTAGCACGGAGGGCTTAATTTTGATTTGTGTAACAGACAGTTGGCCTTCATAAAGTAACCATGTAATGATTTGCTACTTCATGAAAAAGAAACAAAACACCTGTCTTCTTAAGGGAGTAATAGGAGCAATTAAAGTCAAACTGCATCAGTGTGTTCATTTAAGTTTGCAAACCAACAGACAACGAGGTTTCACTGGCTAAGGCATTGGACAGGTCAGGGAACCAAAATTAATTGTCAGTACAGGATGCCTCTGAAAACTGTCAGCACAACTGTTATTTACTTCTTTATACTACACTTCTGGGGAGGTCAAAGATCCCTCAGACTGACACAGGCCTTGTGCTGGTTTTGGCCAACCACGGGCCATGTGGATGTGCTTAATGCGACATTTATGAATATGCTAGATTAGTAGGACATGGGAGGATGCCTCAGCCTTCACACAGAGTGGAACTCCAACCAAAGGAAGCACTTCAACTCTCTCCCCTAGTGGTTTTCCCTATTCTGACTTAATCAGAATGAAATTAGTCCTTGAAGGTACCTAATTCCCTCTTCAGTCAATGGATACAAGTCTGTAGCTCTTCGGAGGCATTGGACCATCTAATCATGTTAGCAATGCCCGTAATTCTTTAGGTGGACTGGACTAGAGCACCACCTTCCCACTGAAAAGTTTGGCAAGCTGAATGACAATAAATTCCAGGACATGGAGAACAAAAAACTTCTATATGAACAGTAACTGCTGTCCAGACAGTAAGTAAAAATGGACAGGTATCTCGTGGGAAAAGATACATTTATTTTGCCAGAATACTTTGGAAGCAGCTAACTCCACCACAAAAAAAAAAAACCAAAAACAAAACAAACACCACCACAAACACCCCACAACAAACCAACCCCACCTACCCAAAGCACACCCAAAAATCAAACTGTTCTTCAGTTTAGCTTTTCTCCAAAGCAAATTAAGAGGAAAAAAAAGAAGCCCTAGAAAACAAGTTGCCTTTATTAACACTGAAGCAACTATTTTACAGTTGTAAAAGCAATATTTAAATATATACTCTTTTCCATTTTAACAGTTCTGAGTACATAATTTCGGAATAAAAGATCTGATTGGTTTTACAGAACTGAGAATCTGTGACCCCCAAAATTCTTCTTACTAAAAACCATTTCTTTTTTACAGTAGGACAACACATACCAAATCCCGATGCTCCAAACTGACATTATAATTGAGCAGCTCTGCTACAATAGCTGCATGTCCTTCTTTAGCTGCTGAAATAAGAGCCGTCCAGTTATCCTAGAAGAAGGAGAAAACATTAAGTGATATTCAATATTTTAATACAATTACCTTTTTTTTCCAAGTGTTGAACCCACAATAGGAAATCTGCAACCCGTTAAAAAGAGCTGTTCTTAAAAAATGAACAGTAATAAAACAAAGACTACCTGCCAGTTATACACATGAAAATACAGACCAACAACTACTCCAAATCTCTTCTCCCCAATACCCATCACTCTCTTATGTTCCCTGCAGGTTAACTACTTAAAAAACTTTTATGGGGGAAGCAACGCCTACAAAGGATGAGAGAATGAGGTTAAGACACTGAGAACCACTGGGTGGGAAAGAGATGGCAACCAAAACCACAGAAAATGGTGGTGGTCTGTCTCCACACAAAGTGGGCAACAGTACCCAAAGGGTTAATATGCAGGGAATTTCGATCACAGCTTCTTAGATACATGATCCCTTGAGGTGATACCTTCCATCCACTGCTCAAACCCTGTCCCAGTGTGGACTACTGCTGTATATGCTATACACATAAATACAACAACAGTTTACATGGTAACCATTTTTCCTGTAAGCACAGAAACTCTAACATTTACGACTAATCTAATAAAATGTCCCCAAAAAAGAGACTTTTTCTTCTTCCAACTGACAGATTTCCCACCAGAACTTTCCTGAACGTCTACACTGCAATCAAACTAAGTGCAGAAGAAAACAAACACAAACAACATCCTTTTCTTGTTTATCACTCTTCATTGGACTACACAAACCTTTCAAAACTTTTTAATGTCATCTCTGTTCTGTTCACCCTTTCTGAGCATCTGTCACCTTGAGTCAACCTCTTCTGCAAAGGCAGAAAGACAATTCATATATATTAAATACTTCTCTGCCACTGTTCTGGCTGTCACCTAAATAGAGGTGTAACCTAAATTCTCCCTCAGTATTTATTGAAAAACACCAAAACCAAGCAATTAAAAAAAAAAAATGCTGACCTTCCACATCATGACTGCAATGAGCAGAATCACTTGGACCTCACTTTGATGCTGTATTTCTCTCTTCCACCTATCTTTTCGTGTCAACTCCTGCCAATACTTTTATTATAGCTTAGAGTACTAATCTCCGAGAAGAAACAGCAGCAGTACTCAGCAGAGACCCTCAGACATTTAAACATCTTAAATATCCCTATTCTTTATGAGGGATCAAATCAGAGGAATACAGAGCCAAGAAATTTTGAATGGAATTTAGCTTTCATGTCATCATTTTCCACCTTCCTTTTTATTCCCCTCCCCTCAACACTAATCTAAATTCCTTTTCTTTGCCTGCCCCTTGAAATTTCTTCTTCCCCTACTGTTTGGTACCATCACATAAAGAACTAATACTTACTGCATCTTCCAAGTTGCAATTAGCTCCCTTCTTGAGAAGCTCCTGGACAATTTCTAAATTGCCTTGCTCAGCAGCCAACATGAGTGGAGTCTGGCCATTCTGAAAACAAAATGATAGGAAAAGCGAGGTATTGGGAAGTGATACAAATGACACACATACACCAACAATAAAAGGCCAAAAACTGCACAAGAACTTTGTTTCCAGTTTTTAACTGCCAGTGTGAAGCAGTGAGAAGGACTAGTTTTCAAACAACACAGTAAGCTTGTAATAAAAATGGAAAACATGATCTTAAAACCAGTCCCATAAGAGAAGAAAAACCCAACCAACCAAAAAAACCCCACATTTCAGACATTAACAACAGCTACCGAAAGCCTCACAAATGTTAAATAACTTTCTTTCCAAATTATTTGTCTACTGAAGACACCTCTAATACAGCCCATTAACACCTTTACATCTTGAGGTAGATTTTAACTGTCATTAAAACACACTCACTGATTCAGAGTAACAGTAAGATTTCTTGCTGAAGTCTTGGGAAAAATGGCAAAGTTACACTTAGGGCTGACAGTATACCAAATACAAACATCATTCCTGTCCTGTGCTACACGGGTTTGTAACAGCCAGCCTCATCTCAGGGAAGATAAAGGCAGAGAAGCTTGTTATTTGCCTTCAAGAATGCTTTAGAAGTCAGTTACACCTTCCATCAGGTTATCCATTAAGGATAACCAACACTATTACTTGTGACAGGATACAATGTTTTTACAGAATATAACAGGTTTTTTTACAGGGAGAAACGATGCTCTCCTGTAAGGTGAGGTTGTTATAACCATACATTGTATACATTCAAAATGATACCTTTGTTTTTAGACCCTAAAGTATATCTCATATCAATAAACAGCACCATTTAGGTCTGGTCATAAAAAAAAAAAATTAAAATGCTCAAAAAAATCAAGAGGAAGGAAAATACTACTTTCTAGAATAAAACAGTTTTCTTCAGACCAGAGAACAGTCATAACTTGTGCTCTTTGAGTTTTTATGTACAAGTTAAAATTTTGGGAATACACACGCCAAGTGATTTGGGAAATCCTGCCTGACCAATCTGACAGCTGTGCTGGATTCAGCCAGGA